GGCTTCTACACTTACGTGAACGTACACAATACAGACTTAGTTGATCGTTCCGTGCAAGGCACAGAAAGTAGTCGGGTACGAGTAGGAGTAAAAAAGAGTTAATAGGTTATTTCCCCGGCATAATATTAGCAACCGTGTCATGTCGCTTATTTCTTTGTCCGACAACATTCAGACATTTAGATAATGACGCAGACTAAGGCGCGTCATCGCGATATCGCTTTGACGTGGCATTCGCGGAAACGATTAACTGCAATTTCTGTCACTCGATATCGATTCCCAGAATATCGTTCGGTAGATGTCTAATAAGAAGAAGAAACTTGGTCAACAACCGACACCGCTGATTCATCGTGGCAATTTCTGCCTTTTTATCGGCAGCGAATTGTGTCGCGTAAAGACATGAAGACGGGGTAGACACAGGCGGTTGGTTTCTTCGCTTATGTCGAGAATTCGACATAAGCGAAGACGTTTGTCTCCTTCGACCATTTCCGCGAGTGACGGAAGTGCACGTTAGCCGGTGAAGAATGACAATGAGAGTCACCGAGTTCTCGCGGAACTTCTCGACCGAGACAAAACCAAGTCCGAGTAATTTATCCGAGTCGCTGGCCGAGTCACGTCGAGTCACGAAGAATCGAAGAACGATGGAAACGACGTGGACGGAGCGGCGGGCATAAGTAGAGAGGAGAATTACATTTTCCTTTTTTTTCTTTTTTTTTACACCTCTCCCGCGTCCCTTTACTCGCGAAAGCAGTAAACGTTTAACGTTTAATGCCCTCCGTCCTCCCCAGTAATTATTCGCCGCGCATCAAACTGAAAGAATTGTAACGCGGATAATAAAATCTCTTGGAACGAAGAATGTCGGCCGAAGAATAAGATGTAAGCCGGGCAGGCGGGAGAAACGGCACGTCGCTTTTTATTGTCGACGTTCGTCGGTACGGCATAAAAAAATCTTTCCGAGGTGACGGTAAAGGAAAACTACGCGATTTTTAAAAAGCGCTCGCTTCACTAAAGTACAGCCGTCGGAGTGTTAAATTTCATGTAAAATTTTGCTTACCGATATATTTATTGGGCAATTATTTCACGTAATATGAAGAAATCAATCAGGGAAAAGGGGAGTAAAATGACGAAGCGGATAAGATAACAGTTTGTTAATTGTTCTAAGCTGATAAAAAAATCGATATCAAATTTATTAGGGATTTTTAATAATAATTGATAATTGTAATCTATCGATGACAACAGATAATATAATAAGAAATGTATTATAAGTATATCTGTATGTAATTTTATGGTAATTCCTGTAATTTTATGGTAATTTCCTTATGTAATTCCTTCATAAGGAATTACAATTATAGTGAATATATTTTCATTTTCTCTATAAAACAGTATAATAAAAATGCATATAACATTTTATTATTTTCCATTTTCCATATTATAATATTTTTTTCAATGGATGAATAAATATAGTAACCCAAACGAATGTCATATCAAAAATTATATAATCATAAGTAACTATTTTTGTTTTGCTTCTATGTATAATTTTATTTTAGTTTAAGTCATATAATTATAAATAATATTATTTTTGTTGTGATCTAGATTTTGTTTTCTGAATTATGTATGAATTATATTATAGTATTGTTTATAAATACTATTTATTTATACTTTATTGTTATTCAGATATTATAGCAAAATAATATAAAAGATTTATAAGAAAATTAATTTTTATTTACAAAAAAATTAGTTTTAACTTTTATCATTTTACCCACATATATATTCACGATGACGAAATGTGTTTTCAAAAAATTCAAATTATACAAAATTCTAATTTATTTATCAATTTTTCAATTTCTGCAGATGATAGATAAGCTTAGCTAATCAGAAAAAAATTGATTATTATTTTATGTCTGATTGTATTTGTATGTTATAAAAATAAAAAAATCGACAAACTTTAGGTCATCATCTTTATCCCTCATTTCTTCTATACCATTGTACAGATTGAGAATTGATTTCATTCTGATACAATACGATAGTATAATATAATAGTTAACGCATAATCATCGTTGTGATTTCATGTAATTATTTACGACATGCATTTATACAAGAATATTAAAATGTGAATTGAAAATGTGAATTGACAGTATTTACGACCTATCCAAGTAGTAAGGCTTTGCGCTTGATCAGACGCCGTTTAATGCAAGGAAAATAAGTCTTTCTTCTCTCGCTTCTCTTCCATTCCGCATCATCTTAATATCGTGATATCCAAGTAAAGGAATTCTTCGAGCAGCTGTCGCGCCCGTACCGCGACATTATTCTCGGAATCCTAAGTGAGGATATTAATCGATGAGAGAGAGAGAGAGAGAGAGAGAGAGAGAGAGAGAGAGAGAGAGAGAGAGAGAGAGAGAGAGAGAGAGAGAGAGAGAGAGAGAGAGAGAGAGTAGAGAG